GGTATTATGCAGAGATTATAAAATAATACTGTTAGTAACATAGCTATCAAATAAATAAAAAGTATTTTCTATTAATACTTGATTAATATGACTTTGTTCGGATAAAGTGTATTAATAAAATTATTAGTTTTGTATATGATCGTAGCCTCCAAGGATTTATCGGTTTGAAACAAGCAACAGTGAGAGATGAGGTTATCAATACAACTCAAAATAAAATAATTTTATGAAACAAATACGTATGTATATATACATATATATGACATTTCATAAATAATCATAAATAGATAATACTGTGTTTCATATGTAACACCACAAACATGATTTTATTTGTAAGTATCGTATATAAATGTCATATACTTTTTAACGAATTATCAATCATAATTTCTATAATGTTCATAATAATTTGATTAAAATTTGAATTGAAATTTTGCTTCGAGTGAATATTTAAATATTGTTTTCATACATAACATACAACGTATGTAATAAACATTTGTACATAAATATCGATAAAAATGGTATTTTCACAATATGAAATAGTGATATTTGCATACATTGAAAGAAAGTATAGATACTTTTATAAATCTTGGCGATATTTAATTTAAAAATCTAAACATTTTATATATATGAAAATCATAAATTTAATAGTTATAAATGTATTTATTTATTTTTTTTTTTATTTAAAAGTAATTCATAATATAATATTTCATCGGAAATACAAGTATTAATAACATAATGAAAATCGTAAATTTAAACGTGGATTTGAATGCTAATATTATTATAAATGTATTTTTACACAAGTCTTAGATCTATGATACTTTGTAGTAAGATATAATATGGCGTGTACAAATAGAGAAACGAGAGAATAATATACAATGTAAATTTATAGATAATAACTATTTACTACATGACTTTTTTCTAGTTTATTTTAGGTTTTTTTTTTTTTATAAATTCAATAATAATTGCGAGTGAGGTTGAATTTCGACTGAGAGGTGTGATTCTGTCATAATGTTTTCGACGATTATCTGAGTTTCATAAGCTAAGCATATTTGGGAGTTACTTTTATTCATTAAGTGGCTGTGGAAATAAATAAATGTTATTGTGACTTATGAGGAGTGTAGTAAGTATAACTTGATAATTTTCTGATTAATTATATTGTAAATGGACATGGATCTACATTTTTCTTTAATTCGTGCAATTTTGTAAATGAAGATTTTCAGTTTTCTGGAGGTTGCATAAGTAATAGTTAGAGGTATTACGTCTAATTATTATCTGAATTGTTCACGCTGAAGGGTTGATCATTGCATTTATTGGCTGCTTGATCTGCAATCTCATAATTTCTTTCGATATTTGAATGTCCAGATACCAACATATTTTAATACAAAATTTGTTTTCTAATACGTATAAAAGCAGGTTTTTTTTTATTTGTATAATCATTAATTGCGTAAAAAAGTAACGTAATTGTTTTTTATAGCTTTTATAGTTTTTTAAATCAATGGATGATATATGGATTTGAGGATTGCATATGATTCCACAGTAAAAATTAAATATATTCGTATGTTGGGGAGCTTGTATTAATGTTTTACTTCATCCTAAATTACCAATACTTCTACTTTTGCCTAGATTTCTAAAGCATTAATATACATTTTTTCATTCATCTGATTGTGTAAAATTTGTTGGTATTTTAGTAAGTTTAATATATTTTAAGTTTTGACAGATTCATTATGCTGTTAATAAAGTGAATTCCGGGGGAGGGTATTACTGAATGATTTGATGAGATGATATTCGAGACCTTAAACTTATTGAGAATGAGATGTAACGTTTATTTTTGTATATTTGGTATGTATTTCAAATATGATGATAACAGCACTAGTTTTAACTTAAATTTGAGTGCGAATTGTAGTCTTCCAATTTTAGAAGGATACCTGCTAAGTTCAGTATACTAGAAATGGAGCTTGAAATTTATTTCTCATTATTTTATTTATGTTATTATTGTGTTTACAATATATACATTTATTTATTTGACTTACATAGGAAACTATAAATTTAATTATATGATATATTTTTAAATTAAAATACTTATAGGAATGTATTCATATTTATAATTTTTTCATTATATTCATTGATTTATTTGATGTCTCAAATAAAAGTTTAACAATTATAAGGGAAAATAAATAAATCACATTTCATTATTTAAGTTTCTATGCAAAAAAAAAAAAAAAAATAAATAAAAATATTTCTATACCTAATAATAAGTCAACTTTGAAATTTTAAGAGGGTTTTAGTGATAAGTTTGTAGAAATCCTTAATTGAATTCGTGACTAGACAATCAACATTTCTAAAATAATTCGTGAATGGAGTTATTATAGTATCTGAACACTCAATAATAAATATTATAATTGTAATAATTTTTAAGAGATGCAATTTAAATTTTAGACATGGAAATGAGGTAACATCGAAAGTAAATATCAAGCAGATTTAACTCTGTAACCCCGCACGTCATTTTATAATATTATTGTATTAAATAATATACTTCAGCAGTTTTATTATATTAAGTGTCTCGATCATATCTATATCACGTTTAAAGAAAAACTTCAAACCAAGACCTTGAGATTTAGATATTTAAGTATTAAAATCAAATTATTTTTTGTAATTAAAATAAATAAAATATAAAACTGTTATTGTGAAAGACATATCCGAATAGGCGTGGCGAAGAAAAATGGAAAAAGATTAATATTATTATAAATTAAAAAAAAAATCGTCATGTCAAACGTAATTGCTTTTTACCATTTTAACTCATTAATTGTATAATTTATAAACATGCACATTATAATAATAATAATAATAATAATAATAATATATACTATATCATAATATTATTATAATTTATAGTAAAGTATAATATACTATACATATATATATATATATATAGTATATATAGTATATATACTAAGGTTATAAACAAATTAATAGATAAATGGATAAAAAATGTTTTTTTTGTTGCGAAGGTGATCATATTATTAAACATCTATCACGGTATTAGCAATCAGTTTTCTGAAATTGTCGATCTTTATTATGAAATTTAATTCTGTAACCATTATAATATCGATCTATATGTATAAAACTATTCAATTTCTTAAAACCATTAATACTATACAGACGGAAATAAAGATAATAAATAGTGTATTAAAGTAGTGTTTCTAAAAAATTTAAGGAAAAAAACAAACAACAATTGTTGAAATACCAAGTTCAACGTAATAAACTACAAGTATTATCCAGTAGCGCTATACACGAACTCTAAGTAATTTAATTGAACAGCCTAGAAAATTATTTATTAAAAAATAAATAAAAAATGATCATTAACAAAATTAAATTAATTATTTTATGAGTTACTTGATAAATGTTTTCTATTCCAAGTAGTATGTTTATTTATAGATGCTTAAAAAAAATGTTTGGGTATTTGAAAGGGTGGTAAATTGGTAGGGTTGAGTTGGTTAATGTAACTATTTGAACTGGCTGTTTCAATATCATTCGGCGCCACTATTATTATCCGTAAGACATTTCACAGGAATCAAAAACTCGTGAAAACGGAAAAAAGAAGACTAAGATTCCTTTACAGTAGGGCTCAACGAAATTATATTAAATAAAGTAATATCTAAAACACGATTTTCATAATAATTTATTAGGAAATAGGTACATAATTATTTACAATACGAAAACGTTGTTGGTGCTTTTCTTTTAACTGTCGATTTTCATCTTAGTAACGGACCACTATATAATCTTTTACGGCTAAGCCCCCCTCCCTAAATATTTGTCTACCACCTCCTTAAATATTTATCTATCTTCAACATAATAGGTTCAGATACAAATTAAAAAGTAAGATTTATTTTATTTTTTTGAATTTTGTGTTTGAAATAAAAGTTGAATTAAAAATGTTTTGTGGTATATAATGTGTTATGATTTATAATTAAAAAATACAGGGGTGAAGCTATTGCGGGTGTGATGCCAATAAAAAAAAAAAAAAATTAACTCTCCCAAAAATAAATCCCAAGTTGTATTTATGTATATAACTGCCACAACAATACATAAGATCTTCGTATGAGAAATGACGTGAACGGATAAGAATTTAATGATTATGATGTATACGTTTAAATATAATAATTATTATACACACGAAAAGGCTACAACGATCCAGACGAACATCAAGTATACAACAATATCACTCGGTCCGCGTGCATACACAATAAGTGTACCTCACGTAATTTAATAGATTATTGAAGACCGCATAGGACCCGCGGACTGTGATGAGACGAACCGGCATAGTGACATGACTGACGCAGGACCGATGGGAGGGCGAGGAGAAGGCCATAAATGTGAGCGATGGTTCTAATAACGTTTGAATCTAATACATTCGAATACATTCAAATACAATAATAATGCCCGGTGTCGTAATCCTTATAAATTTATGTTGTAAACCGAGTGTTTCATAATAATAATCAATCCAAACGCAGGGTCGGAATACGACAGTTATTCATTAGTCATACGTGAAAATTGGTATATTTCTATAGGAAATCCCTTTCCGCAGACCGCTTATCTAATGCTCAATATATTCGATACGGAGCGTATATCTAATGGGGTCGAGGTGCAGTATACTTTCTAGATCCTTCAAAGGTCGACTTTGATTCAAAGCTAAAGAGCTACTGTAAGTTTTAAACAAGGGAATACAAATAAATAAAATAAAACTATTACGTATTTACAAGAAAAATAATTTAAATAAAACGTCAATCCTACACACGCTGGATGAATATGATGTTCAAGTCTCAACGTACAATAAATGGTTAAACATAATTAATTTCGGTGACCACAGTTGATGCTTCGATGCGATACAATTCTTGCTCTCTATCCCTTCCCTGTTGCACATCATCGAGGGTGCATTTTCCCCGCGTAACAATGTACGCATCACGCACTCGTAACAATAATATATATACAACGGTTACACTCACGTAGGTGATCATAGGTTTGTTCCACGCCTGCGCTACGATTGCCTCGGTATGGCACGTGTTGCCTTCGGGTCCGAAAAAAACAGCTACTTTTTCGCAAATCATCTGCGTGATCATCTTGGTCGCTTGCACCGTGTCGCCATGCGTGTCGTTCCATCGCAGCGTCAAAGAAACGTTAGGCAAAAGGTGCGGATCTTCCTCGATCTGTATACGCGGCAAAGGGAAAAAATCACAGGAAACAGAGAACAAAAAAAAAAAAAAAAACATACACTATTAGCGACAACCCCGGGCCAACAATGGCTAGTAGAGGAACGTGTGAAGTAAACGGAACGGTATACTCGCTTCTTTCAGCGCCAACGTCAGCGCACCCGAAATCGACAGTCCCTGCCGGTTGTTCAGACTCCCCTTGGCCGCAGTCAGATAGCCGATGGTCAGCTCCCGCAGCACGGGACCCGCGGTGGTCTTGTTGGTGACGTTAGATTGCAGGTTACCGGTGGTGGTCGTGTTCGGGGTCGTGGTAGTGGTAGTGGTAGAGGAGCTGCTGGTGTGATTCGCCAGCGTCCCGGGACCGGTCAGTACATACAACGCGAGCAACAGGATGAGAAGCGCCGCCTTCGGTCGACCGTTCGGCATTTCACCTGGAACGGATAAATCGTTTTTACGTATTTAAACCTACGTATGCACGGCAAGATGGAGGAGGACGACTGTGAGAGATCGGTATTGTTCGGCGACGAAATGCACTGCGTCTGGGTATCGATCCTAGCGATATTATTTATGTGGTTTTATCATAATATTTAGCATGATGATATCAATACATGTTTGAAATAACAACGTTGTTTGCGGTTCATCTCTGCAATCGTTTTTCTCATACTTCGTGTAAAAATACAAAGAAAACGAAAAATATCGTTCGACAAAAGCATCGCTCGTAAAGCTGTTTAACCGTATAATTGACATATTATTATATTTGCATTTTGTATACACGTAATGAGAGAAAAATAAAAACCGATGATTTCGCAGAAACCGTAACAATGTATCATAAATCGGTATGATTCTTATACTGAGAATTGATAATTAACTATGAACAAAAAGTATATGAAGTACATACTTCACATTATATTATTCCGATGATTCGATACGAATATACAAAGAAATATTGCCGACTAAATGTGTATGTAGAGTAGTATACCATTTACAAATCTAATTTTTTCCTAAACTTACATAACATGATTAATAAACTGTAGTTAGTTAAACAGATCACCATAATATATAATATATGAGCGAATTTTTATTTATAATATTTTAATTAGATATTGAATTGTATTTGGGTTATGCATTATATGTATTAAAAAGCACTTGTTGTACACAGATTGTTCGAGAACGAGATAAGTACACGCGGGACTTAGTTATCTTAACAATATATTCTCTAAAAAACTATCTTTAATGAAATAGAAATGATAATAATATATATATATATATACAGTGGCGGATTCATGTGGAGGGGGTAAACTCCCCCCAAAATCAGGAAAAATATACATTAAAAATCAATAATTTTATGAATTCAGAAATTTTTTTTTTTTTTAAGTATGAGGGAAAGTATATAATTTGTATTTTTATTCTTATAAGAAAATAGTAGTCTTAGATTTAAATTAAAATATTATATATATATGCTTTACAGTGATTTCTTTTGGATCCAAAATGTAGGTTTATTTTTAAAAGTGCCTCAAATGGCCTGCGAGTTATTCTTTAATGTATATTAAAAACAAATATTACTATTAACATATTATATAAGAGTCGAAACATCAGAACCTATAAGTATAATGTTAAATTACGCTAAAATATTACTACTCTACATGCCGATAGCAGTTGCAGCTAACCGGTGGCCACACGAGTATTATACACGCAGTGAGAGGGAGAAAGTCAGCAATTAACAACGCGAGAACTAAATTGACTTAAGATTAATTTTATCTTCAAAACGAATGGTTCGCTTCATCGGAAATTAAAAATTTAAAAACTTCTTTGAGCTTTTTTAAGTGCATATTTCATTAATATTATCATGCGCAGATGGTGTTTGTACGTGTAGGTAATACAACTGACAACTGTGATAGGTTATACGCACCGCATGTCAGTTTAAACAAAACAATTTGGAAGAACAGTGGTTAATGTTACGCATTGCAATTGCACGCGTATATTAAAAAGACGTACAACAGCTTTATTATCTAGTAATGATGCAAGTTTTTCGAGCAGACCGTAGAAATCGGAAACCATTCCGTTACACCATTATTCAAATAATACCGTCACACAGACATATGCTATGGCCGTGCATCCCGACAAGCCTTGAAGTCGATAGACCGAAGTGTTGTTTTTCGTACGTATTACGGAATGATAAACATTTTTGCAACTTTTAAGTTTTGGGACACACTGCGGCACATTTTAATGGATTCGAACCATCCAAACGACCTGCACGCTCTTGGTCTGTGTGGCTTCACGAACAATAATACAAACATAACTGAATATTGTGCGATATTGAAATTGAAACATAAATAGAATATTATGCGTTATCCTGAAATAATTTCATTTCTAATCTGAGGACATTTAGCGGCCAACACGAGCACAATTTTATGGTTATTATAATATATTTATATATATGTATGTATAAATAGCTCGGTACACATCAAATCTATTTCAATTATTTCTGATTATGAGCGGTAGAAAAACCAGTAGTTTTTTGTTAGGTGATAAGAAATGTTTATTATTTGTATGACATTATTTCGTTAGACGAAAATATAAATAATATTTGAATACGTTAAACACTCACATCTCACACCTATATTACAATACAGAACGGAGGCGGGTGATGAATATAATTTATAATTAAGAACAAATATGTTAGGTACGTTCGTTTCAAAACAAGTGTATCGTTTGGATTTAAATATTATAATGAATAATAACAAGGCGCACGATCCTATAAAAAAAAGTTACACAATATTTAAGCCATAAATATAGTATTTCGTGACAACAAGTAATTAATATTTATTGATTTTGTCGTCGAAACGATTAAACGTAGCTGGGAGCAAAGAAAGTTCGTATAGTGTTAAATAAAATTTGGCATACCTGCAAACCAACAGCTCCATTTTTGAAAGCAACTCAATACGATGCGTTACCACCATGTAAATTCTGTAAATACAAAAAAAAACCAACAATTAAAACATACATTTAAAACAATCACAAGAATAAAAATTAAACAAATAAAATTTAAGTATTTCTCTATCCTCTCTTGCTGTTACTATACCAAATAAGGTTTCGCAAAAATAATAATAATAATAATTATAATAAGAAATAAAAAATCATAATAAAACTGAGAAGCACTGGTCGAGATAAATTAGTCTATTTTTAGACTCTATTGCCACGAGCGATCAGAGGTCAAACGAATCCTACGCACTCACACTCGCTGCGTTTTATGTACATTATTATCATTATACAACCTACAACTTACACTTATACCCGTGTGTATGTGGACGACGGTTAGCCCCTCCTTTTGCGTGATATTAACAAGGACACTTTGCCGTAATATAATGATAAAATCATATGAAATATCTAAATCGATTTTTTATCAATTTTTCTATTTATTTCTTTACTCCGCCCGTTCCCCGAGTCAATTTGTTTTTCCCTCCCGGTGAAGTAATTGTTGCAACACATAAAGTAAGTACGTTTGTATTCGTTTGACTGGTGGTGTCAATATTATTATAATATCGTAGTTATAAATAAAATTCCTGTTAATATAAAATAATGTTAATAATAAAACAACGGTCATACGTATGGTATAAACGGTATATACGTGTAAAAATGCGGTTCCTCGGAGAAGTGCACTTTCGGGATCAACCGAGAAACTAAGATGCGGTAGTGTTAGGGGGAGCGAGGATTTGTAATCAGCCCGTTTTCTGCGCTGCAAACATATAACCACACATTCGTGATATCACTGTTCAAAGTGCAACCCGTGCACCATGATGTTGATTAAGGTGACAAAAAAAAAAAAAAAAAAAAATGAAAGGAAATCGTAGGAAAATGAAGGTGAAACGGCGTACTCTAATATCGTTGTGTATTACGTTTTTATATGCTGGTCCAGATTAAACGTATACAGTCGTTATGCCGCCTATAACAAACTGTAGTTCTTATTAACACAGCGAAAACGGGACACGTATCACGGATACGTGCGAGCGTCGTAAGCAAATGTGTGTTGGGTTGAAGGAATCCAAGTCGCTGCGAACGAAATATAAGAGGATTATTGTAAGTTGTGAGGCTCAATTTCCACCCCTGTTTATTTAGTTTGATTTACTGTACCTGCTTATAACATGATATTATAGTTATCCGACTACGTTACTGTTGCATGCGCAGATGTCCCGAATTTATTTATTATTTCTTATATGATCGCGCGTGAAATATGCCATGAAGCTTTGTTTCCGAACCGCATTGGAATATAATGGTCTAACGCTGTTATGCGCGTGTTTTATTTTCGGTCACGTTTCCTGCTGATCGCGAAGTGGGCAATACGATCCGGAGATTGAATCCAACTACATTTTCTGACGTTCTAACTACAACAGCGGTACATACTAAACAGATAAAATGCATTTTGAATACGATAACGTGCATCAGATGCCCCCTAATATTCTTCTTGAACAAATATGTGTATAACAGGTGTAAATATATAATAATATATATATACTTAGGTAAACGCGTAGCCATTTGAAAGATAAACTGAACTCCTTAAGTAAACGTAATTTTAGATTTGAATAAAAGTATGCGATGATAATCGGGCACAAAAAATTATAAAGCGTATACTTGTTATTTACGGCAACGATTTGCCTCGATTCTCAATTCTATTAACTATTGATGGTTTTGAATCATTAACAATCAAACGAAAAAAATAGCAAAAAAAAAAATAAATTAACATTAATTAATTTATATTTATATAACACGAATTTCAATTGCCGTGAATTCAATTGGATAAAAAATCTCGAAAAAAGTTAAATTATATCATAAGAAACGAATAACCGTTTTTAAAACGCACTGGAAAAAACACGAACATAGTATATGTATGACGACCATATTATTATATTAAACATTTTATACGTCGGGGGATAAAAATGAAACCTCAACATAATAATATTTACAAAGATTCTCGAGAGTTTACGGATAGACGTACACGACTGAAGTATACTGATTTCATAAAATATTCCGTTTAAGTATAAAATGTATATAGCCGAATAGAATATAAATCAATCAACTGCTGCACGCCTTAAGGACGATATTATTACGAGGTGAATATATTTTTTTTAATAAAATAAATCGTTTTCCGTGTATTCATTAAACTGTATTGTGCGCCGGACAATAATATATGCTGCAGTAATCTAGTCACATGGAACACGCGTATGTAATGTACTTAGTACACGCATACTAAAATCAACATTTACAACAATAGAATATATCCAGTCGGAACCGTTAAAAGTAATGACTGCATTAATGTTCAACGACCTACGCTTATATCCGTAAACATGTTGTAATAACTATGCATAAATATAGATATTTATTTATTTTTTTTGAACATATTTCATTCGGGATTGTATCAGCTGGATTGTGTCCGCGGGACGTATTGCGCACGTCACACTGTAATCGTTCGTGTATTCGCATTTTGTTTTAATATATACATATATAAATTATATCAGTTTTCGCGATCTCTGGACAACAGCAGCAGCAGTAAAAACAGCACCAGCAATAGAGGGGTTGAATATTTACATTTCGTCACTTGTATGCGACGTGGCACGTCGATTTGTCAACGCGACTACTGAGGAGGGGAGGAGTCAAAGGTGACGAACGGAGGGCACGAAAAACGGACGAATACGTCTTCTATGCAGTTCGTCTCACATATTATACCTAATTTAGTCGTTAGAACTCTGCGGTGGTCACCGTTCGTATACGCGTGTGCATACTATATTATACGTAGTGGTACCACAAGCTGTGGTCCTATTTGATTTATTTATTATGTTTTGGTGTTTTTCTTATTATTATTATTTTAATTTTAATTTGTACACGAGCCACAATTAAATCCAGCGCACGTAATTTAAGGGCATAATGGTCACGATAGTTTTGTGTAAACATACGAAAAAAGCGGCGACCGACCGGTTCGATTTAAATAAACCGACCGCCTGACCAATTACAAGGGAAAAAAATAGTGTACAGTAATAACAGGTTTTCAGTTTGGTTAGGATCACAGCGGTGGTGCATACAAGAAAAATATCTTATGGAATAAAATATAAAACCAATGAACTGGTTTTTACGGTTTTGTTTCTTTTTTTTTTTCGCAAACTCTAAATGGATTTTCTCCATTCAATCAGAGCAACAAAATGGTTAATTGAACCCGTCAGTTCGATAATTTTATAATGTTGAGCACGGCGTATACCTATGTGAAAAAGGATGAGATATTAAAAGGATGCATGTTATAATACTCCGGTCGATAATGACAGGAGAGATAGTAAAAATATAATGCCCACGCGATTTGTTTTCATTATAAACGCGATAGTACACAATATTTACAAAATAAGTAAGTGTAGGTAGTAAATCTAATTGCTTATTATAAGTATACGCACAGCATATTGTGTTGTTATCTGGTCGATGTTAAAAGGCGTAGTAGAAACTTATCAGCAAATACCTAATAATAATAAATAAATAAAACAAGAATGTAGAACTTCTCGAAATCACATTTAACCCTCAAACCACGAGGTTACTGCCAAGGACACTTTGCAAATAGTGGTCATCCCCGTGAACACGAATATATCGTTCATAAATAAAAACATACATGAATATATAACCACTCCTTCATAATATTTTACAAAAATAAAAATAATAAGAAATATATTAAAATAATAATAATTATTTAAAATGTTTATGATTACGTAACTATATTTAGAAATAGCCTGTATACATACGATTAATTTTAAGTTATTCATCTTTCATTGCGAAAATAAATATGTTCATGGCATGGTTGATTTATGAAAATACACCTAATCATTAATTGTATTCTTTATTGTGCATTTTTAGGAATTAAACTAAATATGACACAATACAATGAAACTAAAAAAAAAAAAAAAAAAAAAAACAAAATTATTAAAGAACGATATTCTCAAAATATTCTACGAATTTATTTCCGTCAAAACTTTCCAATAATAATTTTCTATTGCAAAAAATACTATACATTATTTAAGTTCGGCACAATCCCAAATATTTGTAATTACATCCTTCATTAAAGAATAAAAATCTTTGGATTTTCTCCTAGAAGTGTATATTTTAATTAAGTATGAACTTTTTAAAATACAAGTAATATAAATGTTAATCAAACATTTCTTAAATGTAAAACAATAAAAAATTCTAAAAATAAGGTAAGAAAATTCAACGTGTATAAAGAAAATTACATTTAAATATTTAACAATCTAGGGTGTAGATATATATGTATTTATAAATATACATACATAGTTTGTATAAAATTGATTATAGTATTTGTAAGCTCAAATTAATCTAATTTATAGACGTAATTTATTAATTGGTCCGTCGTCTCGTCGATTTTCAAAAGGTCGATCAAAAAATAATGATATTGCTACTGTGATATCAAATGGTAGATAGGTAGATAAAATTAGACGTAAAATAATTATGTTAAGTTATTAAATACTTATACAATAATATACTAAACATTTGTTTTTGAGATACCAATATATTGAAGTTTTTTTCATTTTAATGTGAACATTATGATTTGTTAGTTAATTAAGTTGTAAAGAATATGATTCAAACAATATTATTTTTGAAAAATAAAACTATTGTAATAATGTTTGAAGTAGCCATAAAGTAATAATGTTGTACACGATTTACCAACCAATTTAATATTAATTAATTATTTATTGGGTTTTATAGTTAAACTATTTGATTAATCAAAATATTTATGATGCATACATAAATATACGTATTCTAAGCCTATGATTTAATCATTGATTAGTTAAATAAACTAATAAATATGTAGAAATGGCACCAATTAATATATTTAAATTATCACGATGCGAGTATATTTGAATCAACTTAACAAAATATACCACTTATATATATATATATATGGTATACAATTGAAACGTATT